GAGGAGCCGGCGCTGCCAAGTGCTGCGGGAGCTGCTCGCGTCTTAAGCGGGTCCGTGTCGGACATAGATCAGCGGTTTTTGCGTCTCGGAACTTACTGGTAATTAGCACAATGGAAAGTGAATTTCAGAGACGCGCGAGTGAGGGTGATGGGCTTTTTCATGCGCATGTACAGGCATCGATGTTTGTCCGGGTTGTGTTTGCTGAGCTTCAGGCACCGCTGTTGGGGAGCAATTAATAACACCATGCCGCTCGCGTGGCGTGAGCAGTGGAGCCAACATCTCCGGTGCTGAGAATCAGGTACTTGTGGGGTACGGCTCACGACTCCTCGGAAAAGGGGAAAAACCACCTGTGCTTCATTTGAGCAATTGCTGTTGTTCCACAGCCGAGGGTAAAAGTGACGTTAACTGAACACAGTTGTTATTTCATAGGGGTTTTGTTCTTTTTTGGGGGAGGGTACTCTACTGCTGACCTTCAGACACTTAAAAAGATGAACTGCTCCATGTAGTGAGTATCCTTGTCGATGGAGAGGTGTATGCTGCCCGCCAAAGCAATGCCACTGGCTGTAGCCGGGGCATCTGGATATTAGCGGCACCTGTATACAGACTTTGGCACTGACAGAGCGTTGATGATAAAAAGATAAACATTTTACTTAGCAGATGTGGCAGTAGGCAGCAAAAAGATTAGCTGTCGCTGGGCAAGAGAGACTAACGGCCTAAATCTCCTTACCTCTAAGGAAACAATAGTTAACTGAGGTAAACAAGGTTTTAAAACAACACAGAACAGACAGTTGTGGCATAACATACGCACAAACTTGACTGCTCGTTTCCTTGCTGCTTGCATCCTTTTCTGCTATCTTCTGTTTCTGGTTGGTTGGTTTTAGAAGAAACTCACAGTAGTGGAATTTTATCACTCCAAAAGATTGATTTTGATCCGTTGCCTTACGTACAAAATCAGTAAGAGCAGTATAAAAAGATAATGGAACTTTCTTTATTTCAGTGTGGACTATTTTTGTCAAGTCGCAGGGTGCCGCACGGTCCCCGTGGAATTGGGTGCCCGATACACAGATGAGGAATGGTCTCAGAAGCTCATGACTGTCGGTGACTTCATCAACCAGTATATTGCAAATGAGGTCTGTTAGTCTTGTTTTGCTGCATCCCCAGACACAGCAGTGTGTTACTGGTACAGAATTTCCGTGTAGAACAAACACACGTAGAGGTGATGTCAAGGGAGCGGGTGTGCTGTAAGCACAACTCCAGATTAAAAGGTTTGACATATTTTCCAGATCTGAAGCTACAAATAGTTATGCAACGATAGCTAGGTTTGATTTTTATATGTAACCAGACGTACAGCAGCCAAGATAGACACATACCTTCAGCAGCAAGAGCCTGAATGGTGGAGTCTGAGGGTAAGGGATCCTCAGCCAGCAGTTTTGCTCCTCTCGGTTATTAAACTGCTTAGTGAGATCTAGGATCAGGGTCCAAATTCGTGTGCCACCGGGTGAAAAAATAAAAAGTTGGTTAGCAATTGAGTGTCCTTTTTCTTTCACAGCTGAGGATCTGAAGCCCTCATTTCTGTTTCTAGTCTTCGGGCAGGAAGGACCATGTGCCGTTGCAGATTGGTCTGTGGTGCAGCCTGGGATAGAATATCGAGAGAGTTACAGGTAGCGGAGATGAACTAGTCTGCATTCCAGCAGGGCCTAGCTATAAAGGTGCAGAAGCATTGACAACAGAACTGCTGAGACTTCATTGTATTATAGCGAGGCTTCTTCCAGTGACGCAAGCCAGGTAGTTTGCTGATTGTGGGGACATAGCTACACTCTTAAAATTTCAGCGTAGCTCTAAGTGACTATTTCAGAGGAGCCCTTACGCGAGTAAACTGTTGAGACGATTCTAGTACTCTGAAATAGGACATGGGAAATGGATGTTGCCTGTGAGTAAATTAACTGACTGAGAAGTCTTCCCCTATATGTGACTGTGCTTTTTTTTCTTTCTCTGCTCTGATTCCAGAACAGTGCAGGATACCTTGCCCAGCACCAGCTTTTTGATCAGGTAAAACTGGGTGAATGTTTTTACCTCTCTGCAGTCAAGCATTCCCTTTGTAGTACGAGTCATCTCTGAGGATGTCCACTCTTCTAGGTGGAAGGGCCTACAGAGAGGTCACAGTATTTCTTAAGTTCCTGCTCCCACAGTTAGAAGGAGCAGAGGGAGGAGTTTGCTCCGTTTGTCCAAAAGGCATGGAAACGAAACCCTTCCAGGGGTGAAGACATTCAATCTCAGTGCTGTTTCAGTACAATACCTACAGGGGTATCACCTCAAAAGCAGCGTTTCCCCAAACAATATGTAAGTCAGGGAAGAGATGTGGGCAGCTGCCAGTCTTCAGTGGTGATATGCTCACCGTATTCTGAAATGTCATTCCAGTTAACCAGAGACTAGGTTGGTGGGAGACGTGAAAAGGAACCTCACAGAGAAGGAAGCTTAGTGTATAAAAGATCAGCTGCTCCTTTTCAGTGAACAGCAAACCTACTTATTGTGGGTTTCTCTGGTTTCTGCTAAAGCAAAGAGTCTCTGAAGAATGAGGAACCCATTTCTTTCTCCCACCTCTCCTTCTAACAGAATCTGCTTGCTAGGACAGAAGGTGTGAGGGCATTTCCTGGCAGATTGCTAGCAGTTCAGCTACTTCTCTCCTGCCTTTGCTGGACAAGCAGGTCATTTGTTTTCTTTGTGTCAAGCCTCGTTCCTCTGTTCTATGAGTTACGTACCTTTGGCAAGTCAGCGTGTGCCCTTTTTAATGTGTATTTCTTTATGGGAGAAGATCCCAGAATTGAAAGAGGATATCGGTATCCCTGACTACTGCTGCCTGGGGGAAGGGGAGGAAGATGACATCACCATTAACGCTTGGTTTGGTCCAGAAGGCACTATCTCACCTCTTCATCAGGACCCCCAGCAAAATTTTTTAGCCCAGGTCTGTACTCTACTTTCTCTACACATGCCGTTAATACTATACCTAGAAAAAATGCTTGTGGTGTGTAAGTGTGAGAGACAAGGGTAGCAGACAACTTGATGAACAACTGAGGAGTAGAGAATATGCAGCTATTTTGCTATTCTATTGCCTTTGTCACTACTGCAACTTAATACTCAGTAATCTTGCAGGCCACAAGCACTCCTCATTGAGATAGGCCATTGCTTGCCCTCATTTTACAGATGATAAATGGAAACCACAAGAAGCAGCTTTTTCAAAGTCACACAAAGAATTTGTAACAGAGTTGCGAAGAACCTGGACCCTGTCATAGTGTACCAAGGAACTTCCTTTTCCAGAACAGCAGGATTTTGGGGTAGACTTAGCTGCGTACTTCAGTCCGCTTCAGGTTACCCAGTACAATATCTACTCGTGCATGCACTGAGAGTCAGATGAAGTAATATTTGCACTGTGACCTCACTGCTGCTAAGCAGGTTACTGTTAGTAGGATTCTTGATGATGACTTTTAGTGCAGAGTAACCCAGTAAAATACCGGGGCCCTTTGTGGTGGGCACTACACAAGTCCGAAGATGTATTCCTTGTCCAAGCAGTTGACAACTGTACATCTTCAGACACTGAGGGGTTTTTTTGCTTACTGGAGGGAGATTGCCGTTTCTTCCTCCATCCCGTGAGACTCTTTAAAAAAAATACAGCTTACACTTTTGAACATTTTCCAGCAGGATCATTGACATTGAATATTTTCTACTTGTGCTTATTTATGGGCTGAGCTTTAGTTCCTCTGCCCCAAACACTTGTGTATTGCTAACCTGTGTTTTCACTTGGAACTGAGGCTTTTTATAACTGCTGTGCAATTATGTACATATTGTATTTCTCTTCCCTGCTAACCTACCTCACACACACACACACACACACACACAACCGCATTCTCAAAGCGAAGTACCCTAGTACATACACTACGTGAAGCTTGCTGGGAATGTTTTGGAGTGGAGGTCCGTTAGAGGAGTTGTTGGACTGGGGAAAGATACTTCCCTTACAGGCCTCGGAACTTACATTCTTCTGCCTGGAGAATGGGAGATTATCTGCCAGTGCTGCAAAAGAGTCTCTGTAATTTGGGTAGCAGGTGATCTGGCGGTTTTCAGTTAAGGCTGCGCCGCCTCGTGATGCCGTTTAAACTGTGGCTGTGCAGTACAGGAAGGGACAAGTACAAGTAACAGCGGAATGATCCCTGCTGGCTGGGTGGTGGCTGCTGCAGAGATCGTAGTATTTCAGTTAATGAGGAAACCAGTCTCTGGAGATGGAGGCCGCTGCCTGTTAACTTGTGCTTTCAGCCTTGCAATACACAAGGCCCCAGCCCAGCGAGGCAAGTGAAGGAAGGAGCCGTTACTAGCTCACAGCAGTCCAGGTAACACCCACCCACCCAAAAAAAATCCAAGGATTTAGACAAGGTGCTGTTGAAGCAATAACCAACATTTTCTTTACTTCCATACATCATCAAAAACATCACTGAACACTTGGCTCTTTAGAGAGCTAATTAATATCCTTAATCCCTTGGGGTATGGAAGGTGCCCTAAAAACACGTGGATAGCCATAGTTACTCAGATGGATGCTCTCTTAGTTCAGCCAGTGACAGTGAAGAGTAGGACAGGGCAGGAAATGTCCAGCCTTTAGAATGCATTTATGTGCTGTCCTTGAAGCATCAAACTGTAAACATCTAGCATTACAGCTTGGGTGTTGAAAAGGTTTCAGGAAATCCTGTTCGGTTACATGGAGCACAGAGGAAAAGCAGCTTGGTGATAGTTCAGTAGGTTACGCCAGGCCAGGGTGCTGGGGTTTGCCAGGGTACCGACTTACTCTTGAATGCGACAGTTTCAAACAAATACGATCATGCCTGGCCCCTGAACAAGTCTTGAATCGCGGCACAACCAGCACAAGTAGTGACCCTGTGCCTTCTGTGGGCATTCCGCTGGCATCAGTGCAAGCATCAGCTTTGACTCCTGCTTATTCTGCCACTTCACGCCAGGGCACCGATGACTCG